CTCTCTCTCTCTCTCTCTCTCACACACACACACACACACACACACACACACACGCACACACACACAAACAGAAACACAGAGAAGCTGGATTGGCTGTCAAGCACAGAACTCTACCAATGATGTTCACAGCCTAAGGATGAGAGTCTGACTAGTGACGCCTTTCTGCCTTATTTACCACTCTGGCAGGAACTAGACAATATACGATGTATCCATGTGGCGTTTCCCTTTTTTTTTTTTTTTTTTTTTTTTTTTCAGCTCGGGTTTGCTCCAAAGCGGCGGTGTAGTATATTCATAGAGTGCAGAACTTCCCTTGATCATCAACAAAAGCACCCTTTCCTCAAAGGGCACCTACGACCTACCGTCCTCCCATCCCATGCAATCCCTCCAGTTACAGAAGCCACGGATCTGATAAGCAACCAGAAACAAACCACTTGGCGCGTGCTCGCCAACGATTTCACATCTCACCTCCTTGTCTACTAGAGACCGCAATTCCTCCCATTGAGCTTTCCGTACCTTTTCTATCTAGTAGGGTTTGAACTTGCGAGCTGCCTTCAACTTTGCAATCTTCCGCCTGTCTTCCTCAAATTTATGCCGCAATTCCAGCAACTCTGCACAAGATAGAAAGGATGCAGAACCGCGAAGAGCGACAGACATGAACAAACAACATGATACATACAAATGTTATAAACCTTACACATATTGAAAATACAGCATGCAAAAAAGAAAAGAAAAGGAAAGCAAAAAAAAAGAAAAACATCCTGCATCCAGAAACGAGAAAGGCACAAACTGCTACAGGTCTTCTTCTGCCTCTCCTCGCCGAGTCCCACTTCTGTTCCAGCAAGTCTGCACAAAGTTCCCGCATATCAAATATCAGATACTGTAGCAGCGGCAGACGTGTTTGGCCTGCGTCTGCAGTTTGCATCCCGTCCGAGGATATTGGATGGCTGCTGGATCTGAAACAGGAAAGAAACTCAGAAAAAAAAGAAAAAAAAGAGAAGCCATGGATATTAGCATGGCCCCTGTGCAAGGATGACTACATTGACTTGCACAAATCGAGAAACGGTCCAAACAATGAATAAAAGAAAAGAAGACACGAAATGTGAGCACAACCCTCTCCTCCTCCTCCTCCTCCTCCCCTCCCTTCCCTTCTCCTCCTCCTCCTCCTCCCCCTACTGCTCCTCCTCCTCCTCCTCCTCCTCCTCCCCCT